AGTTCTTTGTACAGAAAAAAATATATATATTTTTACATTTTTTTTAACCAAACTGACAAGTTTCTCCAAAAAATAAGTAGGTCCTCTGGATGGGTTCTTTTTAGTGAAACGTTTCGTCTCTCCTCCAAGAGACTTCTTCAGTCTGATGAGTTTCAGGTGAACTCAGCCTTATAAGCTCCGCCTCCACATGGTGGACAAACAGGTTAGTCATATGCAAAAGAGGGCCATCGCCTAACAAAAGGCTTGGTTAGCTCTATTGTTCATAGAGTGTCATGTGCCCCATCACCTGGCTTATTGGTTTGGATGCTGTGGTTCTTAGGTGTTGTGTAATGTGCATGTAGTGAATGCAGGCAGGGCTCAATGTCCCCTTGTTTTTGTTTTTGTCCCTCTTTGTGTTGGTTATCATTGGGACCCTGATTCACAACTTTTCCTCACAGGGGGCTGAGTCATACTTGCAATGACAGCATTGTAGGAGGAGGACAACTGGACACGAAGGCCTCCACATCTGTTTAATGGTGGACAGTTTTTCTTTTTTTGAAGAAGTCTCTTGGAGGAGAGACGAAACATTTCACTAAAGAAGAACCCATCCAGAGGAGCTACTTATTTTTTCTTTTTGAATTTTTCTACCTGGATTACTGAGATGCATCAGGACGACTCTCCGCTAAAAACGATTGTGTAATTTAAAGGCATTGAAACACCTGGTTAAATTTAGCAGATATTTATGATTAACTACAAACACCTGAAGCTGATTCAGAGAACTCTGTGATTCTAGAAGAAAATCAAAATCAAATGTAGACTCATCTTTGTTAGATGTGGGGGCATTAAAAGATACACTATTTCATCTTTAATATTTTTACAGCGTTTATAAAGCGCACTCTTGCTGCGGTGCTGCTCCTTTGAGAATTAGGAGTTAACGAGCCAGCTGTAAATGTCTGTAAGCAGCCGTGGTCCTCACTTTAAAAACAACGCGGTTTTGTTGTGCTTGTGAACACACCGTCTTACAAGTGGAAATGCTGCGAGGCGCTTTTAGAAATATAATAAATATTACATATGCAAGCCTCTGTGGAAAATAGTCCAGGAAACGCTGAGCTTTCCCGGGAGGTGTTCACCATCAGACGGCACGACCCGCCCTGCTCTGTTCTGACTGGGTCAAACTTTTGACTGTAGTTCTCTCTACTGGGTGAAAAAAACATCAATTTAATCCCTAGACGGCTTTAAAAAGTTTTTTTTTCCCTCCTGTTCCTTTATACAAATCATTTATAGTTTTTTGTAAACTGAAGATTATTTTTGATTGAATTAATTTATTTGAGAAAAAGGGGCAGATGTAATAAGATTTTTCTTCTTCTGCTACCGTTCATTTACCGTATTTATTTGTGTATAATACAATCTCATGTATAATACGACCCCCCCTTTTTGAGCTTAAAAAGCATAAAAAATTTAATCCTCAAACTACCTCCAATTTCATACAGACTTCAAGATTTTTCAGCCTTTGCAGTCTTTATACAT